TTTGAACTAGTTGAGGCTACATCAGGGGTTGTAATCTTCTCTGTTGAAGAGCTAGGATTAACTAATGCTTAGCTTGATAATTTCATCTCTTTAGTTATATGTAATGACTTCAAATAGATCGTAGTAATGGATTAATATGATTGTTCTTTATAATATTGTTTGTGTTTTTTTTCCATTTATTATTGTTATATTTTTTTTTATTTCCAGAAGACTAATATTTTATAAATAGCCAATTAAAATTGGGAAGTCATTAAACAGTGCAGAAGTCCCCCAATTTTTTTCTATCATTTTACAAACAAGAACAAGACTATGAAGATTATTTTCTTTTTTCCAAAAAAGTTTAAAAATCGACATTAATTTGCTCATTAATCAAAACCTAAACCTAAACGTAAACCTAAACGAACCTAAATCAAAAGAGAACGTAAACCTAAACCTAAACCTAAACAAGGATCAAATAATCTTTGTAAGGATACAATATGATGGAGTTACGCTAGGCAGAGAGAGTGACCATCGGTTATTTTCCACTTTCCATCAAAGTGGGTTAGTGGGGAGTTATAATCATAATTAACTTACCCTAATTTATCCAAATATTAATTTAACAAAAAATTATATTTATATTAAATCAAAATACTCACGTGGGCCATATTATACAATCTTTACATGGATTAATCAAGTCTTCTAAGGTAAGACTATATGAGATAAAACCTAAGAAGTGCACTTTCACTATATGGCAGAATTTTAAAAAATAAAATAAAACCAAAACAATCTGTATAAGCGGATGGATAAATTAAAGACAAGCTTCTATAATTAATTGTAGTCATGGAGGAGTATAATGGTGCATAGAGGAGTGAAATATACTACTGGAGATGTAATGGTTGCATGAAGGAGTGTAAGGGGCTACTAGGAAGTGCAATGGATGCATGGAGGAGTGGAAAGGGGCTGCTATTGGGAAGTGTAATGGTTGCCTAGGGTCTCTACAAAGAGACTTTAATTCCTACCGAGAAGTGAAAAGAGATTATAATCCTCCCTATATATTTTTCTGAAAATATGGTAAACCTACATAAGATAATCAAACTAGAAATACTACTAAGCATAAAGATGGATAAGACCCCGACAAAGAAACCTGTTGAACAACCGCTGCATGGCTCACCTGTGAGTCATAACATCTTGTACCAAGATCTGAAGCGTGATTACACCAAGCTGAAGCGTGAGGTTACAGAGTTGATTGAGAGGGTGGTTCGTGATAGTAGCATTGATTACCTCAAGAGTGTCATGTTGGAAGAGCATCGGCTTATTTCGCTCTATACTATGCTTGACGATATGCCCACACCATCCGTCCAGAATGGAGCTAAGGGCAATTCTATCATTGTTATCACTAGTGATACCGAGTCCGCATCCAAGACCTCAAAGTCTCTTTCAGTGAACCAGAATATTGAGTAGTCCATGCATTATGAAGATTTATTTCATTTCTTTTTGATTATGTGTTTGTTCGTCTATGAAGTTTTCTACCCCCTATGTTGATGTTTTTATTTTTCAAGTTATGTATTGGTGATGTTATCACTCAATCTCGTATTAATGAAGGAAATTATTATTATGTTTTGAATCTTTTTTATATTTCATATTTTTTTATGAACTTTTTCCAGATTACCTGGAGTCTTGTATTAGCAAGAATAGAGTTTGATGATACAACAAAAGGGTATAGAAAACCCTTCTAAAAACAGCGAGCCATAATGATCGTTTGATTAAAGTTAACAAAACAGTCCTATTGTCTTCAATATTCCAACTGTTCGTTTGATGCCTAATGAAATGAAAGTACTAATAATAACATTTGTAAAGATTAATTAAGTACTCTAAAATTGGTCAATTTATTTTCCAAATTATATAGCACATTCAACTTATGACAACAACACTGGACAAATAGGAAAATGTATTGTCAATAATTATGAAGATAGTTTAGTACTTCAAGATGCAAAATATAGCACATACTGAACTTATGGAGATAGTTGATGAGTACTTGAAGATAGTTGAGTGCTTATGAATCAATGTAGTAGGGATTAAAACAAGTTCAAAATGATAACACTTTGGCACTTACAAGGTTCCAGCAATATAGACAAATTAAAACATTCAGTTCATTTCAAAATATTTAAAAAAAAAAATTATATTCTTATTTCATTCCAACATGGAGTACAAAAGACAAAGGCTTTGGCATCTATTCTACAGAGATTGAATGCGGCAACCAGTAACACATCAAACTAAACAATCAAACTGATAATAACCAAAATAAACAATAATCAAACTGAACAATTTTTTGAAATTTTCATCCCTACAAACATTCCAGCTAACAACACAGATGACATAGCACTTTCATCAACACACGAATTTGAAGATTGTTCTTCACTGTAAACATTTTCTTTTTGTAATTCATTGAATGCTGCTACTGCTTCATCATAAGATTTGTAAGACTTGAAAATGCTTCCTTAGAAACCTATAACCAAGGGAGCACACTCACACCAAGAGTTGTATAATCCTGGCTTTTTACCACGAAATACCACATACACCTTAGATGCCGATATATTATCAGTTTGAGATCCATTTCTAAACTCATTAAAAGCTGCTATGGCTTCATCATACGTTTTGAAGGCCTTGAAGATGCTGCCCTTGACACCAATAACCATAGGAGCACACCGATGCCAAGAATTGTACAATCCAGGCCTCTTACCACGAAACACTACATAAACTTTCGAAGCATTATTCCTCTTCCTGTGGTCCATTCCTTAATCTAACCCTAAGAAAGATAAGAGATGAAGAAGGAGAAAACAAAGATAGAAAAATGGGGGCTGGAAAAGCTTTTTAGGTTCGGCCAAATATATTAAGTGTTTAGGGTTAGAAAGTGACCACTTTAACCATAAATATCAGTAGTTTAATTTTTATACGTATCTTTTCTAATTGTTAAATGTATTTCCTCTAATATATTATCTGTATATTTTAGTGTATTTCGATTAATTGGTATAGTATATGTAAATTTTAGTGTATTTCGTTTAATTAGTATAGTATATGTATATGTGCTTTATAGAAATTGATGAAGCATGCATCTTGGGAAGGTAAGACAATTAAATTAGTGAGAGAGAATTGTTGAAAAAAATTAATTTAAAACGAAAAATCTGCCAAAGGGTATATATGGAAAACGAAAATGCACAAATATCTATTATGCCCTCAAAAGCCGTGCGAAGTTACCATTATACCCCCATTCTGGACATTTGGGCCATTCTTCGTTTGGCCAAATATATTTTCCGTTACTTAAAATACTTACGTCGTTTCATAGATTATAATTTTGAGTTGTTATTTCCATTTAATGTGAATAGTTGATATCATCGTGTTGATATAAAATTTGTACTGGTATTAGTTAATATTTATAACTAAATATGAGATAAGTATATTCTCATTTTTTATTCCCGAATTATAACTATAATCTCGATAACCAAACAACCTCTAAACAAGTTTCGTCTTAATAAGAATGATTAAATTTAAGGTGTGAAACTTCAGTTTTTAATGAAAAGACACGTGAAACTTTCATTATCGCTCGTTTGAAAGGATAATCTTGATAGTTTGTATATATTTGACTTATGTATTATTATTTTTTTGTTTATTAAACTACCTGCCAGGTGAAAAACATTCCTAAAATGAGAGGGAAAGAATAATGATCGAAAAATTCTATTAGTTTTACACGGATAATGTATATAACTTAAATTAACGCTACTAGATACGATTACTAGATATGTAATTATTATTATATTTTTATTTTTCACCCGATATTCGATACACACATTAGGACTTTAATTAATCTGGATTCGCGTCGCGTAGGACTTATTAAAAAAAAAAACTCTTCCTATCAAGATTTTTTTATATAAAATTTGTACTGGTATTAGCTAATATTTATAACTAAATATGAGATAAGTATATTCTCATTTTTTATTCCCGAATTATAACTATAATCTCGATAACCAAACAACCTCTAAACAAGTTTCGTCTTAATAAGAATGATTAAATTTAAGGTGTGAAACTTCAGTTTTTAATGAAAAGACACGTGAAACTTTCATTATCGCTCATTTGAAAGGATAATCTTGATAGTTTGTATATATTTGACTTATGTATTATTATTTTTTTGTTTATTAAACTACCTGCCAGGTGAAAAACATTCCTAAAATGAGAGGGAAAGAATAATGATCGAAAAATTCTATTAATTTTACACGGATAATGTATATAACTTAAATTAACGCTACTAGATACGATTACTAGATATGTAATTATTATTATATTTTTATTTTTCACCAGATATCCGATACACACATTAGGACTTTAATTAATCTGGATTTGCGTCACGTAGGATTTATTAAAAAAAAAAACTCTTCCTATCAAAAATTTTTTCATCTCGAATTCGAGAAATCTTGTTAATGATAGATTAATTTAATCAATCTCATCATATTACATATATCTTGTTAATAGATAATTAGTTACTAATGATAATCTTAATTGATTTTAGACTATGCAAAAATAAATTAAAAAAAAATGCTCCAGAGTATCAGGAGAGTATTTGCAAACTACCAAACAAAACAACCCTCCAATTTGCACCAAAAAAAAAAAAAAAAAAATACTCTGCAAATCTTCTCTTTCTCTCTCTACTAATGATAATCTTAATTGATTTTAGACTATGCAAAAATAAATTAAAAAAAAAATATGCTCCAGAGTATCAGGAGAGTATTTGCAAACTACCAAAAAACAACCCTCCAATTTGCACCAAAAAAAAAAAAAAAAAAAACCCTCCAATAAATACTCTTCAAATCTTCTCTTTCTCTCTCTACGAAGCTTCCTCGAAGCTTACTATGGATTCCTACTCTTCCCTCCATTTAACCTCCGCTTCTTCCTCTTTCTTTCCTCGCACCAACTCTCTTTTCTCTCTGCAAATTCTTAACTATGAAGCTCATCAAAAACTTGCCGAAAAAGTTCTTCAAGACCAAAAAAAACCGCTCCATTTCCCGATCCGATGATCCGTCTTTCAGCTCCGGTACAACATCGTCGGAAAATTCCCTTCACAAGCCGTACAACGGTCTCTCTACTCCTACGAGCGTTTTGCCGACGACGTTATCCAACGAGATCTCCGCCGATGATTGGTCGTCGGAGGAGATTTCTAACTCCGGCGTCTACTCCGAACTAGTCCAAGCATTTTCACTCATCGACGGCGACGGCGATGGTAAAATAAGGAAGGAACAGCTCGAGGCGATTTTGAGCCGAGTTGGTGGTAAATCGCCGCCGAGTGAGGAGGAGCTGATATCGTTGTTGAATGAAGTGGATAAGAACGGTGATGGATGTATAACTTTAGAGGATTTTGGGATTATTAGCTCGGCGTTTGAGCTTCCGGAGGCGACGACGGCGGAAGACGGTGGAGACGAGATGAGAGATGCGTTTGATTTTTTTGATGCTGATCACGACGGCAAAATAACCGCCGAGGAATTGTTCAACGTGTTTAGAATGATCGGAGATGCGCGGTGCACGTTAGAGGATAGTAGGCGCATGATAAGAAGCGTGGATAAAAATGGAGATGGGTTCGTCTGCTTTGAGGACTTTTGCCTTATGATGGAACAGCAGAGATGAAGAAAAAAAGTCTTTTTTTTTGTTTTTTTTTTTTTGGAAAAATGGGTTTGTGTTTAATCAAGGGTTGGGATCAATTAGCACTCTTGATTGGGTTAATCTAACGGCTAGGATTGATCTATATTTGGAAGTTTTATCGAGCTGTCTATATTATTATATATAAAATGAGAACAAATTCCATCCTTTTTAACCCATCATATATTAAGCATTGGATGCTTTATATCTCTTTAGATTCTATAATTACTAGCATAGTATTGTTCCTTTTTGGGATCTTTTCTTATTTCGATATAATTTATAAATATATTTGTGTGCCCGGAAAATATTTAAATTATATTATTTTTAATATAATACTTTGTTTGATACAAAGTAACAAAAAATTAGTTTACATAAATTAAAATATATATGGAGTGTTAATAGATATATATGTCTCTTGTAATCCTGATCCTTTGAATTTATATACACCGAGATCGTGCAAAAAGGTTTTTACACAATCAAGTTAAAGAAACCTGCAACAATAAATAATTATGCTTAGTAAGTGTAATTTGTCAATTTAGAAAATAATGCAAATAATATATTATAACAATATACATATAGCTTAGATATGAGTTAAGCTTAACAAAAGAAGTGATGATTTATATAATAGATATTAACTTGTTCGGGATGAGGCACAATAATAATTGTACTATTGATGGCTTAAAAGTTCTTTATATTTAAGTTCGAATATTTACCGTGATTTATTTTATAATTTGGATGTAGAAATTCTTAGTTGGATTTATATAATCTTCGATATAAAGAATACCAACATTCTTTTAATATCATAATTGTAACAGCCCAGCCTGCTAGTCATATTGTCCGCTCTGAGCCTAGGCTTCACGGTTTAAAACGCGTCATTAGGATTTAAGGCTTGTTAACTTATATACCTAACATCCATTTTGTGTTTTTTTGGAACCTCAGGAAAACCCGCAGCCGCTACAGCCTCTGCCACAGCCTCTGCCCTTCGGGTGAGCACTCTGTGCGCACTGGGTAAACCCCCCACTGTGTAATAGCCTGCAAACCACACAGGGGATGTAAATCGCACTAGGCAAGCCCCGTGCGACAGGCTCAGACCCAGAAGACATTGAGGGGGGATCGAACCCGTATCTCCCGTGTTGAAAACTCCCTCCAAACCCACTGAACTTGCCAATGTGAAATTCTATCTAAAGTCCGGAGCGTTACAATAATTCTAATATTCTTTTATACTGAATTCAACATGAGATACTAATACAGTATTAGCAATATTTGGATATCAGTAAAAAAAATATTAGCACGTACTTAACAATTCTAAGATTATTAATCTTAATATTACAATATGACCCTGACATAACTTTAACTACGAGCCAAACGAATATATAATTTAAATTCTAAGTCTTAAAGGATAGATCATTAGATTTGTAAATTTCCTTTTCAAAGTAAGATGAGTGGTTAAATCTGTCGGGGAAACGATAAGATCAAAGAAAATTGTCATATCACTTCCTTATCTTTTAGACTTTTACCATCCACGTAAAAGGGAGTAGTAACTATATACTAATTCAATTATCTCAAAGAATGTTTGGGAATTTTACGTATCGTTCAATCACGAGACATTGCATATTTTTAATATTGGTGTATGTAGAATTTTGCGCAAATGATTTCAGCATATTTGATATTTAGCTTGTATTATTTTGCTAAATAATGGCGTGTATAGTCTAACCACAAATTTATTGGGTCTGTTCGACCAAAGCAGATAATACGTGCTATAGCCTTGAGCTGCTACAGAAACATATCGTCTGCTTTGATCCAACAGATCTCACGTATCATGCCAAAATGATACGTGCCATGTGAACTTATATTATGTCTTATAGCGTTTCAATTTTCTTTCGTCTCTAGTCTTTACGATGTAGGATTCACCGACAATATTATATGTGCCGCTTCTTTCAAAATTTGCCAATCTAGAAATATGTCCGATCCGTTCAACACGCCCTTTTGTCAAGGATGCCATATTGCAAGGGCGGATGTAGTGTATTGACGACGTGTTCAATTGAACCCATAACTTTTAACGTAGAGTACAAATTTATACATAAAAAATTATTAAAATTGTAAAAAAAGT